GCCCGGCGAAGTGGCGTTACTGCATAAACGCCCGTTCTCTCGAGTTGCTGCTGCAGCAGCAGCAGCAGCAACAGCAGCAGCAGCAGCAGCAGGAGCAGCAGCAGCACAAGCAGCAGTCCGACAAACAGCAGCAGCAGCCCGACCAGCAACAGCAGCAGCAGCAGCAGCAGCAGCAGGAGCAGGAGGGAGAGGAGGCAGAAGCAGCAGAGATTTCTGAAGCAGCAGCAGCAGCAGCAGAAGCATTTGTATCTCTGGCGCTGCAGCGCCTCGCAGACACAGACAGCAGGGTCCAGTGGACAGCAGCAAAAGGCATTGGCCGGGTCTCGCTAGCGCTCCCCAAAGAACTAGCTGAACAGGTCAGCAGCAGCAGCAGCAGCAGCAGCAGCAGCAGTAGCAGCAGCAGCAGTAGCAAAAGGAGCAGCAGCAGCAGCAAGAACACCACTGCTGCCGAAGCAGCACTGCTGCAGCAACAGCACTAAAGGAACAGCTGAAAAGCCCAAATGGCAGCAGCAGCAGCACTGCAGTGTTAGCTGCAGCAACAGCAGCAGCAGCAGCTGCTGCTGCAGCAGCAGCAGCAGCAGCAAGAGAAATAGCGGGCTGTAAAGTTATTGTTCTATCGCTACTGGTGTTGTCTTTTATTTCTGTTTTGTTGCTACTTGTTTCATTATTATTTTTATTAATATTAATAATATTTTTATTTTTATTTTTGTTTTTATTTTTGTTTTTATTTTTATTTTTATTTTTTTGTTTTGTGTTTTGTTTGCTTAGGTTTGCTGCGCGGTGCTGCAGCCATTCGAAGCAGAAACGCAGCCGCTGCTGCCGACAGCAGCAAGCGGTGTATTGCCAGCAGCAGCAGGAGGAGCAGCAGCAGCAGCAAAAGCAGCAGCAGCAGCAAGAGCAGGGCCTTCAAGTGCAGCAGCAGGAGCAGAAGAAGCAGGAGGAGGAGCAGCAGCACCAGCAGCAGCAACAGCAGCAGCGGGAACAGCAGCAGCAGCAGCAGCAGCAGCAGCAGCAGCAACCGACAGCTTGTGGAGAGACAGCATCTCAGGGGCCTCGTCTGCTGCTGGGGAGAGACTGCTGAGCGGCACCTGTCTAGCAGTAGCAGAGCTGCTGCGGCTGGGTGCAGTGCAGCAGCAGCAGCTGCAGCAGGCGTTGCGTTTCTTATGTCGCTGCGTGGTATACTCTGGCCGCAGCAGCAGCAGT